TGGTTTTATAATGAACCAAGTTCCATACTGACTTCCATGAATCCGGTAGCAACCTCATTATAAACCCAAAAGTATAACTCCCTTACAAATTTACAAGTACAGCTTTTTATCAGAGACAAAACACTAACGAAATAAAAACAACAACTGTAAAGCATGCTGTATAGTGGATGACAGGGAAAGGTATCTCTTGGCCGACATATCTACAGATACGGACAGTGGGGTGTAATGAATATAGGGCATGAAATGGTTACTAAGTACTGAAATGATTACGAGGGGTAAAATGAGCTTCAGAATGATAATGAGTACTGTTTGGTTTAACAGGCAAAGCCAAGTGTAATGAGCACAGGCTGGTAAAAGGAGAGGAGTATATGTAGTAGTTGTATTAGCTGTATTAGCGGCTGTGTATAAAGTGTTTGCGGTACTGATTCTAGCGATTGTAGCTATAGTGGTTGTAGTATTTGTAGTGGAGGTTATGTCTGAAGTTGTGGTTGTGAGTAGGTGATTGTGGCTTGTGTGGTGATTGAGGTTATAATAGATGTGGCAGTTATGGTAGATAGTGGTAGTTCAAGTTGATAGTGGGTAGAATGGAGAGGGGTGGGTTTTAAGAGTAAGAGGGAAATATTAGTATTTATACTGGTAGGTGTAATGAAATGCCAGGCATCTACATGTAAAATTACTATATAACCAGTCACAAAGTTGGCTAAAAACCTGCAAATAAATTTGCTTAATTACACAATAGAGTAAAACTCCATACAATTGTGAGGCAATTGTTTAAGATTCTGACATCACCTTCATCCACTGCAATCATGAGCTTTAATTTAACACTATTAGGGTTCCAATGATTGCAATTTACATACTACTGTGTTTGGTGTAGTTCCAAGATATACACATTCTACAGCTTTAAAAAATATCCATAGCAGTTACTGTGTTAAATAAAAATAAACAACATAAGTGGTTCTACTGTTAAACTTCCTAGAGTATCACTTGTCACTGGGACTGCTAGAAGTATCTCTTGATACCAGGACACTTGAGCACACATTTTTGTGCAGCTATGCAAAATGGTTTTCAAAATATGGCCCCAGGTTTTCTCCATCCTCCTCCAATGTGTTAAATTGTTCTAAATTATGTCAAGGGGCTTCAGGGTCCAATGCAAATAGGAAATAGTGGTATTGTATCACTCCACAAGTCTAAATTTCAAGCTGATACAAGAAGATGTTTTAAGATAATGCATCTCTACCATCATAAATTACTTTAAAAGTGGTTTTATCTAAACCAAATGATATCATTTGGTTTAGATAATTAGTTAAATTATATATATATATATATATATATATATATATATATATATATATATATATATATATATATATATATATATATATATATATATATATATATATGTCGTACCTAGTAGCCAGAACTCACTTCTCAGCCTACTATGCAAGGCCCGATTTGCCTAATAAGCCAAGTTTTCATGAATTAATGTTTTTTCGTCTACCTAACCTACCTAACCTAACCTAACCTAGCTTTTTTATGGCTACCTAACCTAACCTTACCTATATATATAGGTTAGGTTAGGTTAGGTAGGGTTGGTTAGGTTCGGTCATATATCTACGTTAATTTAACTCCAATAAAAAAAAATTGACCTCATACATAGTGAAAAGGGTAGCTTTATCATTTCATAAGAAAAAAATTATAGTAAATATATTAATTCAGGAAAACTTGGCTTATTAGGCAAATCGGGCCTTGAATAGTAGGCTGAGAAGTGAGTTCTGGCTACTAGGTACGACATATATATATATATATATATATATATATATATATATATATATATATATATATATATATATATATATATATATATATTATTAAATATGACCGAAAAAGTAAGATTAATAATTCTAACACGAATTTTTCTCGGCTTGACGTTTGCGAGGCACTACACATCAAGAAGTCAACACCAGCAATCAACAGCCAATTATTGCACAACTATATTCTACCCACCTCAAGACTCCGCTCCAATATAGAAGCATCAAGAAATATGGACCAATAGGCTTTCTACAAACACTTCTATTCAATACCCATTGTTTCTGTTCTGTCTTGTGTTGATACTTTTAATACCCTATTAATATCCCCTCTTGTTCTGTCTTGTGTTAATGCCACATCACCCCTCCCACCTCACTCAAATGTAGATATAAAATCAGAGATACGTAAGTTCTAATCAGTTGTGTATTTGTGAAGTCTTTGAAAATGTAATAAGTTTTACGAAACGCGCCCGTGTCGCGTCAGACTAGAAATAAAAATGAATTTTGGAGAAGTGATTTTTTATTTACCTCCAACAGTGAAGCGTAATGTACGAAAGATTGAGAAAATTCGTGTTAGAATTATTAATCTTACTTTTTCGGTCATATTTAATAATATATGTCTACAGGAAAGACTGCTACCAAAATATACTAATATATATATATATATATATATATATATATATATATATATATATATATATATATATATATATATATATATATATATATATATATATATATATACTGTATATATGTCGTACCTAGTAGCCAGAATGCACTTCTCAGCCTACTATGCAAGGCCCGATTTGCCTAATAAGCCAAGTTTTCATGAATTAATTGTTTTTCGACGACCTAACCTAACTTTTTTGGCTACCTAACCTAACCTAACCTATAAAGATAGGTTAGGTTAGGTTAGGTAGGTAGGGTTGGTTAGGTTCGGTCATATATCTACGTTAATTTTAACTACAATAAAAAAAAATTGACCTCATACATAATGAAATGGGTAGCTTTATCTTTTCATAAAAAAAAAATTTGAGAAAATATATTAATTCAGGAAAACTTGGCTTATTAGGCAAATTTGGCCTTGCATAGTAGGCTGAGAAGTGCGTTCTGGCTACTAGGTACGACGTATATATATATATATATATATATATATATATATATATATATATATATATATATATATATATATATATATATATATATATATATAAAAATGCATTGCACAATGGTTATGCATTGTTACAATGTATAAGCATCAGGGCTTCATGAAGGAACATATAATCTCTTCCCACAACCAGACCATCACCAGAGAAGTTTTAACAGAGAACACAGAAATCATTGATAGATACAGCGATAGCAGGCAGCTCAACATCTATGAGGCACTACACATCAAAAAGTCAACACCAGCAATCAACAGCCAATTAATGCACAACTATAATCTACCCACTTCAAGACTCCATACCAATATAGAAGCATCAAGAGGAAGTATGGGCCAATAGGCCCTTTGCAGTTACTTCCATTCTTATGCTCTCATATATCCAATTAATACCCATTGTTCCATGTTCTGTCTTGTGTTTGTCAAAAGTTTGTTCACCTCATCCAAAACTGTTGCACCGTATCACCTCACCCAAGTGTGAGTATATAAGAAGGATAAGCTGTTTAGTGTTAGCATAAGTAAAACTCTGTTTAGTGTTTTCAGGTTACAGTTGTGTGTGTAAACTAGTCTCTGAAAATGAAGCAAGAAGTTATTACGAAATGCGTTCAAGCGTTGCATCAGACTAGAAATAAAAATGAATTTTGGAGAATTGATTTTTCAATTACCATCGACAGTAAAAAGAAACGTAAGAAATATTGAGAAAATTTGTGTTAGAATTATTATCTTACTTTTTCAGTCATATTTACCAACATACATATTTTATATATATATATATATATATATCGTACCTAATAGCCAGAACGCACTTCTCAGCCTACTATTCAAGGCCCGATTTGCCTAATAAGCCAAGTTTTCATGAATTAATGTTTTTTCGTCTACCTAACCTAGCTTTTTTTGGCTACCTAACCTAACCTACCTATAAATATAGGTTAGGTTAGGTTAGGTAGGGTAGGTTCGGTCATATATCTACGTTAATTTTAACTCCAATAAAAAAAAATTGACCTCATACATAGAGAAAAGGATATTTATCATTTCATAAGAAAAAAATTATAGTAAATATATAATTCAGGAAAACTTGGCTTATTAGGCAAATCGGGCCTTGAATAGTAGGCTGAGAAGTGAGTTCTGGCTACTAGGTACGACATATATATATATATATATATATATATTTTTAATATTTATTTTGTACACACATTTACATCAATGTATGAATACAAACAAATATTCAAAGACATATATAGTAACAAAATAAGTACCGGTAAGTGGGTTACTATACAGTACTTTACAGAAAAACTGTCGAACTGAATGTACAAAATATTCTAAACTTTGGTTATATCTTATGATGAATTTTTTTTGTTAAATTCCTGACAAAGATTTAAGATAATGTTAAATATTCTAATTTCCTTAATTAGGTTACCCCTAAACTGACAAAGAAAATATGTATACTGAAATTTCTAACAACTAGCTTTTTCACTGGACAAGCTACTCAAAAAAAATTTCAGAATTAGTACAATCTTGAAACCACAACTTTTCTATCACACCTATAAAATAATAAAATTGTAAGTTTAACTACAATCTAGGCATTATAATAAAGCTTACACGTATAAGACGGAAACTATTTCTTTCATTATATACAGAATCATATAAACCAACAAACTGTGATAAGCAAAATCTGTTTTGGCACTTGGCAGTTTTGGGAAGAATGACCAACAGCAAAAAGCATTACTGCAAAACCTAAGGATGCCCTGCTAGCCAAATATTGTTTTATGCACAATATAATACTGAAGTTAAACACTTGGGAAGACAGCTTGGGCTGTTGGGGGGGAGGGGGGTACACTTTATAACAATAAATCTAACTTCATTAAGGTTACAGTACCATCCAAGTGAATTGCATAATCCCCAAGTTCAAAATAGTTACAAGGATCTATACTGTGAAACACAGTGGCTCACTGTGTATGAGATGCAATTTCAATCCAGCTTTAATATATTTTTCAGGGAATAAGTTGACAAGTCAAGGTGAAAATATTAAAGATGAATAATTTTCTGAATTTATTTAACACCTGAGGCATTATACAGAGGGGGAACAAAATAACATCTGAAGTAAAGTCCTCTAAAGAAAGTGAACTGCAAAATTAAAGATGAATTATCAAAGCAGAATTCACGAATAATGAGAAAGAACTGAGGGGCATTGACTAATAGAACACATCCATACGAGTTATAGGTAAGCAGATGCAATAGAAAGGATAAGGGTAAGATGGCAGTGTTAATGGTGCACCTGTGTGCAAGTATATAATGAATAGGAGTTGTTGAAGTTTAGTAAGTGAATGAAACGATAACAATCCTAATTTACTCTAAAACGTTTTTTGCCAATGCTATTTCATATCCTTCCAACACTTACATTACAAAATGGTGCTACAACTGTATTATGAGCTTATCTTAAACCTTTGGTTGGGTCCCATACCAGGTAAATCCCAGTGCATACAAGCAAATAATGTTATTAATATTAAGTAATGGAATGTCCATTACAGTATGTCTAAACTAATTATCTCAGCTTCCTATCAATAACATGAATAAAACAAACATATTTAAGACATAAAACTTCATATTCCCCCTTCACTTGCTGTTGGAATACTGTCATCAGTTGTGGTGACCTGTAGAACTCTGGAGTGACCATTGAAGGCAGCCTTTATAGTCCTTAGTGATCCGCCTGCCACAATGAAAGCCAACATTCCGGAGAGAATTGTAAGGATCCAAACCGTTGGGATGGTGACTGAATATGCAGGATTCATCAATGTCTGAAAAATAAAATAAATTATATTTTATATATACCTGTATATATAAAACCTAGAAGGGGCACCACCTCTGGTGCAAGTGTAGGGACCCATAGCCTCGGAGAAGAAAATAAAGAGGTAGAACGGCCTATTGACATAGCGCGAGTGCATGGGGGAATTGTGTAAAATCCTGGTTTGTCTCTCAGAGAGGCTGCAGGATCCAAGTAAATTCAGTAGAATTTCTGGTTGAAATTCTTGTACCATGTTGTGGCTCAGTTGATTAAGGCAGCGTCTGGGATGCTCTCGGACGCAGGTTCGAATCCTCGTCACGGCCCTTGTGGATTTGTTTATTTTAGAATGTTCCCCATAACAGACGATGAGTCACAACAACATGGCTGAAGAAATGATGACCGGACCACACACCAGAGGTTGGAGAAACGACAACGTTTCGGTTCGTCCTGGACCATTTTCAAGACATAAAATAATGATCCAGGATGGATCGAAACCGTCATTTCTTCATCCTCTGGTGTGTGGTTTGGTTATCGTTTACCATACCTTTCCCTTGTAAGAATTAATTTGATTCAATAAAGTAACCTTGATAAAAATATTAATGCTGTACAGTAAACAGTACTGTAGTGCATAAAATTTTGTAGTCAAGTTATTACCTAACATATCTAAGGCCCAAACAGAAGAAAAATTACTACTTACTTGATGGAATACAGTTCAGTATACATGTACACACAATATCCACAAAAGCCACGAGATACTTACAATGCAGGAAGCCAACAAGTGACAAAGAACAACATAGGCCAGCTGCAGGTATGCACGTCGATGGATAGCGTTGACAAAGAGAATGCCCCAAAACACATGGAGCATAATGAATGCCAAACTGGTTATGGCTGATGCCACAAAGAAATTGAGGGGGTCTCCTTTAAGCCCAATAGTTCCTGGTCCAGTCATGTCAGCCAAAACATTCACCAGAGAAAAGGCACCAGCGATCATACCAAAGCCTAGTCCAGACACTGAAAGATGGAAATATGATCTTCAAAACAAGATAATTTCACATAAATTATGGATTCAATTAACTTCTTAAAACTTTATGCAATACATAAAAATCAATAAAAGTTTACCATAATTATTATCAAATACCATTTAGTAAAATTCCTATTAGCAACAAGAATAAATCAATAAATACATATGTTATCATTAATAAAACACAGTTATGGGTATTCCTATTTTCTTTGCTGACTATGTAGTTGTTATATCTTATACTGTAGACCTACTATACCATTATACATACCTCATTCTTAAATTTTATTTTCTTACAAAAATAATTATATTTTCTAGCAAAGATTAAAATCTACTTCTGGGAGCTTGCTCTCTCCTCCTAGCCTGACACTACACATGCTCCTCACACTGCTCTCTCCTCCTAGCCTGACACTACACATGCTCCTCACACTGCTCTCTCCTCCTAGCCTGACACTACACATGCTCCTCACACTGCTCTCTCCTCCTAGCTTGACACTACACATGCTCTTCAGGTCTATTTTTACCCCCACACAATTTATAAGTGATTTACACTGTTTACAATACTGCATGTAGAGTAAATCATGGAGACATAATATATTTATATTTGTCCAGTCACTCAGTACATCACTTCACATCCATACTACTTCCTTCATCATAACTCTATACTACATCTCAATCTCCATACATGTCATAGTTCATCTCAATTAGTACATACACTGTACCAGATATATTAGTATTAGTTTAATTAGATACAGTATATGTATCTAACTTTTGTCATCAAAATATTTTTCAAAAACTATTTCATTAGGTTTGAGAATCTCCAATAAGTAGTACCATATTTATACAAAATACAACAGACAAGATCAGTATTTACCATAGGCTAAAATGTGTTTGTTCTCCACGATTTGAAGATTCCCATCGCTCACCTTCCTCAGACCTCCCTCTGCCTTTTTGATAACTAAAAACCACAGAAACCTGGACAAAATTTAAAAATTTTTGTCATACCACAGGAACAAATTTTAAACAAACATGACAAACTTGATTTTTTTATACTGGTAATCTAAATCAGGAGTATCCTTTTATTACATTAAAAATACATATTGTAAAAATGTTATCACATTATATAACTTATAGTACACATAGTACATGAGCCTGGACTTGGCATTAACTCTTCAAAAGTATAAGCATACCATGCACATACTGTACATACCAACATTAATGATATAACCAAAGAATTGCTGTAGTTTATACACACTTTATTTTTCTATACCTATATAGTGCACTCTCCCAAATCCAGAAATCTTGATAACACTTCCCTTTATAACAATGATCCTTTTTCACCCATCCGAGGGGGATAAGACAAAACTGGTTCGTTGGTTTATCACATGGAATAATTACCCTCAAATCGCATATTTTACTTTAATTTTTCCTAAACTTGCTTTTTTTATTTCCATTAAAGTATTCAAAATATTGCATTTATATTTCATAAATGTTTTATCGAGATTGAATTGCACAATACTGTAAATCATACAAGAGAGTTTTGTCTGTGTGACATTTTTCTGTTGCTTTTGTGATACTATTGTGAGTGTGTGATGTAACCTATCACTACTCAAGTCACTAGCTTATCTTTGGATACATGATTATCTGCAGTTTGAAACCATGTCATCCAGCAAGAGTTTTATTCATTCCTTACCATGAATAAAAAACCAACGTTGAATGTAATGAAACGCCATTTTCTGGGTGAGACCTGGAGGCTCCCTGGAGCTATCAGGCTGATGTGTGTTATATTAGTCAGGGGCATCAGTCAATTAGCCAAGAGAAGCCCCATGTGGTTGGGGGCATTACATGTCTGCCATCAACTGGGGTTGGTATCCAGAAAGGTAGGCATAATAAAACAAACCCCACTTGGTAAGAAACTGAGACCGAAAACCAAACAGGGATGCAGAACTCACCCCCTGCAACTTAAGGAACTAAGTAAACAAGCAAATGTCACACCTCACTGAAGCGCATGTTTTTCCGGGGCTCGCACCCCCTTCCCTTTGGGAAGGGGGGGAGCCCCGGAACCCCCCCATGCTGGTTACCAAAGCCATCCAATTCGGAGGCGGAGCGTCAAAAAGGAAACGGAACTGCCAACGGCAAGGAGGGAGGGTTGCCAGAGAGCCTCTGGTTCACACGCAAAAAAGGAGTTTCATTACATTCAACGCTGGTTTTCTGAGGGAAGCCCATAGGGCTCCCTGGAGCTACATCATCAAAGAGAAAGAATTGGGGACTTAACACTGGGAGGTAGACACCACTCACTCCTCAACTCAAAGTCAAGACAACTTGTTAACCTGACAAAGCAAGCACCAATGACCTAAGCACCCCTCTGGAAAAAGGTCATCTCTTTTTTTTGCAAGAAAAGAAGGAGAAAGCTACAACCAAACAAACCTACCACCAGGACCGAAAGAGCAAAAGCCCTTGCACCGGAGGAGAGCATGAAGCTCACCAACCCGACCCCCATAGGCCAATGCCAACAGAAAGAGAGCCTTGGAAAAACAATCTTGAGCTGAAGGGGCCGCCACAAACCAAGGGGAAGAAAGAAAAGGGAGCACCCTGTCCAAGGACCAGGATGGCTCAGGCGGCGCATGAGCAAGCTGGAGGTGAAACAATGCACGAGAAAGCTTATGAAACTGGGCAGAAGTGACATCCACCCCGAATACAAGCATGAGTGGCTCTGCCAGCACCACACGATACGAGGCAACAGTATTAGGCATAAAACGATGGTCCTGAAAAAGCCAAGAAAGAAAAAACAAAACAACCTGATCAGAAACAGAAGACACCCTACTTAGAGAGAGAAAATGACAGAAAAATGCCAGGAAACTCGATACTATCACCGAGACGACGCTCGCAAGTGGAACACCATCAGAGAAGTCACCTGATCATTATACAAATGGTGATAGACGACATCAAAAAGACCAGATGCGAAGAGCAGAAGAGAGGACCAAACCAGCCAGGTACCTGACTGGACCGATCTGCTGAAAGAGGCAGAGCAGCGTAATACATCACAGCTTCGGACACCAAGCAAGCAGCGTTTGAAACCAAGGCTGGGTCGGCCACCAAGGGGCCAACAGGACTACTCTCCCCTGGTAAGTCTCCAAATGAGCCAGGACCTGAAGCAACAGCTGGATCGAGAGGAAGAAGTACAGGTAACCCCACCTCGACCAGTTCTGCTGAAAGGTGTCCACTGTGACAGCCTTGTAGTCGGAAAAGAGCACCACATATATTGGGAGATGCCGAGACCTGAGGTCCAACGCAAAGAGGTCGACCTCTGGGCTCCTGTACGTCTGGCAGAATCCAACCGAAGGAATCAGCATCGACTGTCCATTCCCTGGACAGGGGAATGAACTGAGACAGGCAGTCCGCCAGGACATTGGAGAATCCCCAGATATGAACTGCACAGAGAGCCAAATCCCGAGAATCCAGCAGACGAGTCACTCGAAGTGACCAGCCTCAAAAGACCGAAGAGACCCCTCACGGTTCAGGCATTCAACCACCGAAGAACAGTTCGAATGCAGCCGGATCATGGAACCCCAAGCAACCTGGACCCTCTGAAGCGAGTCAAACCACCGCGAACTCCCCCACTGTGCTGTGAGCTTGACGGAAGGACGAACCCCACCGCCCCTGGCCAGCCTGGTGAGTACTGGTCACAAAGCCCTAGCCGAGAGACGAAGCATTCTTGAACACATCTGCTAGGGCTCGGGTAGGTGCTACAGCACTGAACCCTGAAATACCCGAAGAGGAAGCCGGCGACGCAGCAACCGATGCAAGGCCCTTGGAGACTGAACCCAGCAATCACGAGAGGCATAAGGGAGGACCCCGAAGGAACCAGAATGGACACCAAAGCCAGACCCGAGCCGGCAAGTAAACCAGCACGGCAAAGATCAATCTCCCACACAACTGCTCGAGCAACTGCCGAGTGAACTGGGAACCCCCTCGAAATAGCTGAAAGACAACGTTTCCAGAAGGAACAGAAACCAGCTGCTGCATAGGTAGGCGAGCTATGCAGTACCTTGCCAACGATACCACTACCACCAAATAATACCACATCATACCCAAGGCCAAACAGAAGCTTGAAAACCCCAGCACCTCACACACAGCAGAAACACACCCCGAAGGCACACAACTGCACAGGAATCTGAGGCCAGAGTCAACATCCACCCCGGACAACATCAGCCAAGGAACTGGATGACTTCGGTAGCCGGCACAGGGGTCCAGGGCTCCTCCCCTCCCCTGGGAGGATGAGGGGGGGGGGGGAGGAGCTGTGCGGTCAGGAGGTGCGGCGGTGAGGTGTGACGTTTGCTTGTTTCCTTAAGTTGTAGGGCGAGTTCTGCCTCCCTGTTCAGTTTTCAGTCAGAATTTCTTACCAAGTGGGATATGTTTTGTGATATCTACCTTTCTGGATGCCAACCCCGGTCGATGGCAGACATGGAGTGCTCCCAACCACATGGGGGCTTCAATAGGCCATTGTTCCCTGTGTCTCTCTGCGGGGGCCAGGTTCTGGCTCGTGGTCCCCGGCAGGCTGAACTTCATTTGACTGATGTCTCTGACTAATGTAACATATATCAGCCTGATAGCTCCAGGGACCCATAGGGGCTTCCCATGGAAAGGCAGTTACTTGAAAAACTAGATCGAAGGATGGCTGGCAAGTAACTGGCAGAGGAGTATGGCATTGTCACTGGTACTATTCTGGATATAAAAAGCAAAGACTGGAAATCATACAGTTTGTTAGTAAGAGAGAAAGAGAGCAGTAGTGGTAGTAGTAGTGACTGAAAAGCATTGAGGGTACATAAATACGAACACTGGATGATGCTGTTTGTTTGTCATTCATACAATACAGTATTGTATCCATTAGGGTTTAACAATTTTAGTCTGTAGTAGAAGCACATAACATGACCTTCAAAAACATCAAGACCAATTCAGAGTAGCTGTATAAGTTTGACAGGCCCACAGTATATTTAAAAGGAAGATTTCAGGGAAATGATTCAGACCAGATGTGGAAGCAATGGAGCCAATTAAGAGAAAACTGCATGGTGTGCCTAAGAAAAATACAATTATTTCCAGGTCTACAATGCAGATGAAAATGGATTGGTATGGAGTGTTTACCATCAGGCAAAGGCCAGTAGATTAGAACAAACTATTTTAACTCATAAAATTAATAAAGAACAGGTTTCTGCTATGATGTGTGCAAATGCATAGAGCACAAACATACTTAAAATGGCAAATGTTGGGAAGGCTGTTAAACCAATACTGTATTATTGAAAAACTGTTCAGATAGACTTCTTCCTTAGATCTACTTCCACTCATAGAATGCTTGATTCACACATGCATTTTTTTTTTGTAGTGGTTCCAAAATTTTTTGCAAAGAGGTGAGGGATTTCCAGATGAAGGAGAGAAAGCTGAAGGCTGACAAGGAAAAAACCTTATTGGTTTTTGATAAAGCTTTTGCTCTTCATGAGGTTAAGCTTGGGGAGCTATATAAGGAACCCTCTCATAATAATGCCTTAAGATGTAGCCTTGAAACAGCTCAATTTTAAAAATTACAGCTTATTTAGATAAATTCAAAATCATGCATCCAAAACAAACATCTATAACAGCAAAATGTGCTTCATTAAACAAGCACAGCACTGTAGCACCAAAACATTATACTAATTCTTTTTCTCTTTTATTTAAAACATCCAATTGATACTCACCGAAATAGTTCTTGGCATAAGACGGAAAACACCACCCCAAAGATGAGTGCATTATTTAATTGAGTGACCGCGCTGTAAAGAATGGATGAGAACAGCAATGCGAGAAGCCAGAAGAAAGAGCTGTGGAGGAAAAAGCACACTGTAAATATACCTCTAAATACTACATACAGTGCTGCTACACAATTTTCATCAAATAAAAAATATTGAGTAAGTTGAAAAGTCTTTTCTGAAGAGATAACCAAGATCAATTATCTTAGGTGATTTCTGAAGAAATCACCTAAGATAAGATCTGCCATATGCAAAGAACACTCATGACAGAGTACATCAGTATTTTGGAACTGATGCCACATGGAACCTTTCAACATCCATGCAGGGTCATATTTATGACTTCTCAACTGTCAATCAATCAACTTATTTTATCCCCCCCCCATATACACCCCCCCACCCCTAGGAAGCTGCCCGTGGCAGCTGTCTAACTCCCAGGTACCTATTTACTGCTAGGTGAACAGAGGCATCAGGGTGAAAGAAACTCTTTCCATTTGTTTCTGCCATCGCCAGGGATCGATCCTCGGACCCTAGGATTATGAATCCTGTGGAGGGGGAGAATGAACAAGGAAGGGGAAGATGAACGAGGGGAAGGGGAGAGGGGGAGAAAGGGAGAAGGGGTGATGCTAGGTCTGTGCACAGACAATTACAACAGCAGGCCAGTCAGGAGATTGTAATGAGTGCGAAGATGGGTGTCCAACAGTGGGAAGGGTGTCCAACAGTGTCAGAGGTTATACCGCTGGCTAGCTTACACATAGTTGATAGACGAAGCAAAATTGCCATTTTGATTTCAGATTTCAGGGAGTGCACAAGCATGCATGAATTAGTAACTTCCTTAATATAGCAGATAGAAGGTCGAAATTAGGTGTCTTTGGAAACCAGACACCCTCAGCTGCCCAGAAAACTAGCGATAGATGTTGTAGCATTTCTGGATAAATAGTTACAGGATTAGCATGAATTCTAGTCCCAACTCTCGTGTATAAGGATGAAGAGAGAGGCCTGGTGTTGTAACGGTTTCCTCTGGCCGGTGACGTGACATCACCGTCACCCCATTGGTAGCGGTACCTTCGGCCTCCACCAATCCTCGCACCTGATTGGCCATCTCGTCAGACAAGGGGGACACCGCCACTTCAGCTTTTCCCGCCTAGGGGGATGCCATTCTGGAATACCTCACTGTGCTGTGTAGACATGGTTATCCTGTTCGGTCAAAACAGGGTAGTATTCCTGTCTACACCGGAGTTCAGCAAGCTTAAGTATATCTATCTGGTCTAAGCATTTCTCAGAATCCGGTAATCGCTGTGCGCTGATAGGTACCATATATTCAAAGATACGAGTTAGAGTACCGGCCAACACATGTGATCGCCACCGGAGCAACAGGATTGTAGCTAAGTATCCATGTTCATCGACTAAATCAAGTGCAATCTGTCACCATATCGCTAAGTAAACTGTGTACAAGGAATTGAGGAAAACGATTTCCAAGTGGTTGAGTTAAAATTGAGAAGTGATATTCACAAACATTGGAATTGTGTGGACTCTGTTTATTTCGTCCACTCTGCTGTCCACCCCGTGTACTTATCACGTGGTGCGCATCTGCACTCCATCAGCGTGTTATTCAGTGTGCCTTCAGCAAAGCACACTAGTGCATTATATCCGGTGTACGTTCATAAACGCGCTCCTGCCTTCACCAGTGTGGGAGTAAGGCGAAACTCAACCTTGTGGTCTCGTGGCTCACACTACTACCTCGTGCGGCCCTCCACCCACCTCACTCCGCCTCATGCTGCCTCCACCCGTGTATGTCTATACAATTTGTTATTATATATCTCACCATGAGTCCCAAGAAAGCCAGTGGTAAGGATAAAGGCCAGAAAGCTCATGTGAGGATGACAATAGAGGAGAAACAAGAGATCATTCGGAAGCATGAGAACGGTACACGTGTTGTTGAACTTTGTAGGCAGTACAACAAAGCCACATCAACAATATGCACTATACTTAAGAAGAAAAATAAGATTATGAGTGCTAATGTGGCAAAAGGAGTAAGAACATTAATGGCACAAAGACCACAAATACTTGAAGAAGTGGAAAAGTTGTTATTAATTTGGATACACGACAAGGAGTTGAGGGGTGATAGTGTTTCGGAGGCCATTATTTGTGAGAAAGCCAGGGTGTTGCACGAAGACCTTCTAAAGAAGACCCCTGCAACGAGTGATGCAGATAAGAAAGAGTTTAAGGCAAGCAGGGGCTGGTTTGAAAAATTTAGAAAGAGAAGTGGTATCCATAGTGTTACAAGGCATGGGGAGGCAGCCAGCTCAGGCAAACCAGCCACTGGACGATTTATTGACGAATTTAAAGAGTTTGCACAGGCTGAGGGATACCTACCGCAACAAGTGTTTAATTGTGACGAAACAGGACTGTTTTGGAAAAGAATGCCTAAGAAGACATACATTACCAAGGAGGAAAAATCCTTGCCTGGACACAAGCCTATGAAAGATAGGTTTACGCTTGTGCTGTGTTCAAATGCGAGTGGCGATTTGAAAATTAAACCCTTGCTAGTGTATCATTCTGAAAATCCAAGGGTTTTCAAACAGTATAATGTGCAGAAAACCCGTTTGTGTGTGATGTGGAAGTCTAATAAAAAAGCATGGGTCACTAGGCTTATTTTTTCGGAGTGGGTGAATGAAGTGCTGTGCCCTGCCATAGAAAAATATCTGCAGGAGAAACAATTGCCACTCAAAGCCGTGCTTCTCCTTGACAATGCTCCTGCTCATCCTCCAGGCTTGGAAGATGATTTGATGCCTCAATACAATAAATTCCTCACAGTTAAATTCCTTCCTCCTAACACCACTCCTCTAATTCAGCCTATGGACCAGAAAATCATAACGAATTTTAAGAAACTGTATGAAAGGGCACTTTTCCGGAAATGTTTTGAAGTGACTGAAGCCACAAACCTCACCCTCAAAGAGTTCTGGAGAGAGCATTTTAACATTTGTAGTGCTTTAAAACTCGTTGACAAAGCCTGGCAAGAAGTGACTCAAAGAACCCTGATCTCTGGCTGGAGAAAATTGTGGCCTGAAGGTGTGAGAGAACTAGACTTTGAGGGGTTTGAGCCTATAAATGATGCGCCTATTGTTGAGGAAATTGTTAGTCTAGGCCAGCAAATGGGCTTGGAATTGGATGGTGATGATGTGGAGGAGTTGGTGGAAGAACACAACGAAGAACTGACCACCAAAGAACTCCTAGCCCTTCAACAGGAACAGCAAGCCAACACAGCAGCGAATGATTCTGCAGTGGAGGAGGAGGTGGCAGCAGCACCAACAGCACCAGCGAGTGTCCCTTCTGCAGTAATTAAGAAGGTGTGTCAAATGTGGGAAGAGATTCAAACAACTATTGAACAGACTCACCCAGAGAAAGCTGTAGTAGGCCGTTGTCTTAATCTTTTCAATGACAATGTGATGCCTTACTACAGAGAGAGCTTGCGAAGAAGGGAAAAGCAAGCTTCCATGGACAGATTTGTGGTGAGGAAATCGAGCAGTGAGCCTCAACCAGGACCTAGTGGCACTCAGGTTAAACGTCCCAGGGAGAGCACACCAGAAAGGTCCTCACTGCCTGATGTGATTATGGAAGGGGACTCCCCTTCCAAACAGTAACTCCTCTCCTCCTCCCCCCTTCTCACCATCTTCCATACGCCTACAGCACTCGACAGCAAGGTAAGTAATAACTGGAACATAGTTTTGTAGGTTTATTTAGATGAATTAGGTAAATTAGGTATAAAAATTTAGTTTGATGTGGGGTTTTTGTGTAGTCCCCTTGTGCACCATGCACCTGTGCCGCTTGTGGGGCACTCGATCTTCAATCAACAGCGGGTATCATACCGAGTGTGTATATTTGAGGATTGTGGAAGATACCGATATAATCAAAGTGACTACTCAAAATTATTCTGTATCATTCATCTGAAGTGCCAAATTCCTTGTGCTGAATCAGTCAGCCAATTGGTGTGTCGTTCTTCATAATCCCGCCACGGGAAGGAGTTCGATTCCCGAGGAAGCACGATAGGTAAAGGCCTGCTACAGTTAGTCTGTGTGATAATTGTAACTGGACTTTAGTGTGTTTGTTATCTTACACTGTTTTACACATTTAGTAATTGTGTAATTACCTAAGTGTAGTTACAGGATGAGAGCTACGCTCGTGGTGTCCCGTCTTTCCAGCACTCTGTCATATAACGCTTTGAAACTACTGACGGTCTTGGCCTCCACCACCTTCTCACCTAACTTGTTCCAACCGTCTACCACTCTGTTTGCAAAAGCGAATTTTCTTATACAGTATTTCTTCGGCATCTGTGTTTAGCTAGTTTAAATCTATGACCTCTTGTTCTTAAAGTTCCAGGTCTCAGGAAATCTTCCCTATCGATTTTATCAATTCCTGTTACTATTTTGTATGTAGTGATCATATCACCTCTTTTTCTTCTGTCTTCTAGTTTTGGCATATTTAATGCCTCTAACCTCTCCTCGTAGCTCTTGCCCTTCAGTTCTGGGAGCTACTCAGTAGCATGTCTTTGCACCTTTTCCAGTTTGTTGATGTGCTTCTTAAGATATGGGCACCACACAACCGCTGCATATTCTAGCTTTGGCCTAACAAAAGTCATGAACAATTTCTTTAGTATATCGCCATCCATGTATTTAAAAGCAATTCTGAAGTTAGAAAGCGTGGCATAGGCTCCTCGCACAATATTCTTTATGTGGTCCTCAGGTGATAGTTTTCTATCTAGAACCACCCCTAGATCTCTTTCTTTATCAGAATTCTTTAAAGATTTCTCACATAATATATAGGTTGTGTGAGGTCTATGTTCTAATCCACATTCCATAACATGGCATTTATTAACATTAAATTCCATTTGCCAAGAGGTGCTCCATATACTTATTTTGTCCAGGTCATCTTGAAGGGCATGACAATCATCTAAGTTTCTTATCCTTCCTATTATCTTAGCATCATCAGCAAACATGTTCATATAATTCTGTATATGAACATGTGTGTTATTACTTGTGTTTATATTGATTAGTGAGGTTTAATATTATACCATCACTCTGTGTCTAACCATGTCCGTGTTTTCTTTCTTTTCTTTCATTCAATAAGACATGCAGTGATAAAAGTAAGTGTGTTATTTGATTGTAATTGTTATCATTGCTTTTATGACATTTGTTGTCAGTGTGTTGTGTTGTCAGTGCTGGGATTAAATACTGTATTGTGTTGGTCTACATGACCCGGTGTTGTTTTGATTTGTGTTCCTTATTGTGAAGTCAGTGTTATTGAATTAATGTCATTAATTACCATCTGTATTGATGTGAGGTGATTAGCAATCGTGTTGACTAATCAGTGATTGTCAAGCGGTCTCGGTGATCAGTTAGTGTTAATGTAAATTCTTCGTGAGTTAAGTCGACTGTCAGGTTTGTCAGGACCTTGAGCGGTTACTCAGGGACTGCTAATTATCCGGTGTTTATTGATCGACTTCATTAAGTCTGGTTTGGTTGCTTGACTGTGTTGACAGCATGTAATTAACGTAGTATACCTTGTGTTGGTTGTGATTGGGTGACAGATTAACATAACTGGATTTACTAAGTAACGTATTCATATTGTAATTAATCGATTGAAATAGATTAGATCAATTGTCATCTGTCTCTCATTGTGTCATAACGTAATTAACTGAGTGTTGCAAGGAAGACTGTCTTCCGTCTCTGTGACAGGTCTGTTTGTTGTTTGTTTATTATTGTTTGCTGTAGGCGTGACGAACTGCTACTTGCCTCTGAAGTGGTCGCCCACTGTGTTCAGTGTAGTTAATATTGGAACCACGAGTGGTCTGTATCAGAAGTGTGTTTCTTCCGGCTTGTCTATAGTGTTGACGGTGCCACTACGAACTTTAATGTAACATTAAACTATTATTGCCTTGTATTGCTAGTATTAAGTTTTATGAATAAATTGTTATTGTTGAAACCTACAAGTGCCTTTCCGTTCACATCTTTTAAGACCCTTGTACCATTTATTGACTCTGCCATTACGCTTGAAAGTGACTATGGGTGTTGCTTTGGATACTTGGTCTCGAACTAATTTCAAAGCCACACACACCAAAGAAATCTTTTGGCGAGACACACTAACGAGCTACTTTGACAACTACCTTCAGTAGTTACGGATGCTCCACGACCTAGTGGATCAAGAGTGCCGAGGATTTAGGCTCTGGTGGCGGCTCTTCGCCTCCCTGCGTAGTCTTAAAGTAATAAGCTGTCATTACAGCAATTGTTTGTTGCTAGTGCAGTCCTTTCTGACTGAGGTCACTTGTATTAGTGTCATCACTATTCCAGTGAGCACCTACTACATACTTCAAGGGGAAAATCATCACATCTGGCATGTGTCATCACTATTGCAAGTTACCAATTACATCACACGGGGATAATCTCACAAATGCTTTATTGATACAGAATTTAACTTATGAAGTTTACCATATCACATATACCATAATTCAAAAGATACACATTGAGACACTGACTTTCCTATCTGCACTTTCAACCAGGTGTCAAGCTGACCAAATTCACTCATACAGTAATTAATTTTGTCCTGACTTTCATTTCTCCGATTATCTCCAAAAAATTTGCAAATGTGCCCTTTGAGTCAATACCTAACATTATTCAGATACTTTTCATAACACTTTAATGTAGTTAAAATCTTGCAATTTTAATTTGAGATCCAGATACATAAAATGAGTTATGTGAATTAATAACATCTACAGCACATTTGCTAGGTTTAACCATGAAGTTTTATTCAGCACTAAGCTACATCTTTCACATATTTAATTCATAATTCATTGTTTGGGACAGGTGGGAAATGCCCAACTACTTCTGTCCGTCCGGGATTCGAACCTGGAATCCTTGACTGAGTCGAGAATGAACCCGACTGTACTACTAGGAGCGCCTGACAGTTGAGTGGACAGTGCTTCGGATTCGTAGTCCTGAGGTTTCAGGTTCGATCCCTGGTGGAGGCGGAGACAAATGGGCAAAAAGTTTCTTTCACCCTGATGTCCTTGTTACCTAGCAGTAAATAGGTACTGTACCTGGGAGTTAAAAAGCTGCTACGGGCTTCTTCCTGGGGGGGGGGGGGAAAGGCAGGGGTTGTAACAAAAAGGAGCCCTAGTCGAGGACCGGGCCTCGGGGACGCTAAGCTCCGAAATCATCTCAAAAAACCCTCAAGATAGGATCCTATTGTAGCACATGTTCCAAAGAATCTATAGAATTAGATTAAAAGTTGCAAATAAATACTATCAGCCTATGTATTGTCTATGCAACAGCCAGCTATTATTGCTCAACTCTTTTCATTAATGAATCCAATACCATAAAGAGTTACTTGAGAAAGAGCTTTTTTTATGCCTATTTTTTTAGTGAAAAATATTAGTAGAGTATAATACTGCATGTCACAGCTATTTTACAACCTGGTCAAGGGCACAACCAGGGTGACTGGATACACAGCTTTTTCTGACCAAGATGGTTTACTGAAGAATTTTTAAATCTATCTTATCTTACCTAACCCAATCAACCCAGCCTAACCAACTACAAAAAAAAATCCAACTTAACCTTACCAAACAATATATATATTGCTTTAACAATTAGAAAATGAGCGCTACCAAAGGAACTGTGTATGATGACCAAACCCCACCAGAAGATGAAAAGATGTTTGGGTCCGTCCTGGACCATTATGAAGTGGATTGTGATAATGGTTCAGGACGGGCTGAAACGTCGTCGTCTCCTCATCTTCTGGTGTGTGGTTTGGTCATCATATCTTCAGCCCCGTTATTGTGACTCATCGTCTAGGAACTGTGTAAGATTTAACTGTAACCCATGCAGGAGCTCCTTGTCTGGCGCACAATTTGGGACATAACTTATCTCAATATAACTTAAACCCTAATAGCTTTTGAGGTGATAGCTTACTCAAAGACAGTATCCCCGCCTGGCCTAGACCCCCTCACATGCCTCACCTGGCTACCAGCATAATAGTCCTGATGGGGTCAGTGGCGATAGTGATGGCAAACATGGATATAGGTGGACCGAAGGCGATCAGCGCACATCCGAAGAACTGTGCAACCGTCATCTCGTCGCTGAACACACCACAACGCCAGAAAACTTCAAGAAAATATTAGTTGTGTGGTAGAGATGGGAGGCTGTTGTTGACAGTGTGAGGGAGGGCGGTCCGGGTGAGTCAGGAGGAGCCAATCACAGCTCACGGTTGTCCGGTGTGGGCGGAGCAACAGTCACTTCCTACACAACACCGCTCCCACACATATTTTGTACATTTCGCCCATAATAAAAACTGTACGTTCCGTATACAAATTATTAGTTACTATTTATTTATTTATTTATTTATTTATTTATTTATTTATTTATTTATTTATTTATTTATTTATTTATTTATTTACAAGAAGGTACATTGGGGGTTAACAGAGAATATAGAAATTAAGTTCAATTTACATTCTTGTAAAGCCACTAGCAATTGAAATTGAAATTGAAATTGAAATAAGTTTATTGAGGTAAAATACACACAAAGGGATGAGGTAGCTCAAGCTATTCTCACCCCGTTCAGTACAACGTGTTAATATATACATATACACACATCACAAATAAACATATTACCAAACATTCTGAGAGGTAAAAATATACATTTCCTCCCTCACAAGGAGTATGGTATCAGACGTACACACAAATACTTTTATGACCTAGGTATACTGTATAGACAATTTGCAAGACACCTGCAGATAATTCAACAAAATATTACAATCTTGGTGCAAAATTCTTATATCTCTCAAGAATATCATCAACCTTTCCGTTGTGACACATCCAGGCTATTTGTTCAGGAACAGTCCTTATCTCAGTGTTTCTATATACACTAATCAACGGACAATCAAGAATATAATGGGCAAGGGTGTGAGACCTTAACATACCACATAGTTCACACTTCGTGTCATTACCATGAACATCTATCCCATATTCCCAGTAATATTTGTACCCAAGCCTGAGCCGCATGTACACAGAGTCACTCCAAGCATTTCTCCTTTTACCATAAGTGAAATGGGTGTTTTGACTCACATACATGTAGTGTTGCATGGTTTGACTACTCTCATACATTATCTCTCTCCTCTCCACTCCCGCCTGTGCCTGAATATTTCTGATTTTGCTTCTTATTTGTCTCATTGTGAATTCACATTCGATGTCAACTTGTGGTTTTGATGTGGCACGTTTGGCCAAGTCATCCGCCACCTCGTTGAGCACTATTCCAACATGAGATGGAATCCACATGAATTTCACACTATAACCTTTCAGCTGTATCTCAGTTATTCTTCTCTTACAGTCCTCCACTATAGACATGAAGACTGGGTTTCTACTGTTTAAGGACTCCAGTGCTCCTCGGCTATCGACAAATACAAAAACATTTTTGTCGTCATGACGTACTTCCTCCAAACACGCCAGAATGGCCTGCAGTTCAGCTTGTGTGGATGATATATAATTACTAAGCCGGAGTTCAATTATCCTGTCCACAGTCCCAAACTCCGTATAATCCCTTATTAGGACACCACACCCTGCCCTGCCATCCTCCGCCACCGACCCGTCGCAATATACATGTAAACTGTTGCCTCTTGGTAACCGAGATATCATGCTTCCATACAAACACCGTAATTGTCCCGGTTCATGATGAATCTTTTTCACCTTGAGGGGTACAATTTCGACGTCTATTTTCTGTACTTTCCAGGGAGCAGACATATTACACTTTCGAGAGGGTTTACAGCAGTCAAGTACGTCGTATTCCCTGAGGTCATGAGCTAATCCTCTCGTATAGCGAGTCTCCCTCAGTTTCCTGGAAGTGTGTACGTCACTCAAGCAGGTCTGAACGCTCTCAAACAGCTTATCCCCTCCTTTTCTCCGCATGAAACGAATAGATACTCTAGTGTTAATGTCACGGACTCTATCACACACACTCTGTAAATTTAATTCCATTCTCATTATTTCAATCATTGCATTTCTTTGACATCCAAGAATAATCCTCATAGCCTCGTTCTGTATCAGCTCTATTTTTTGAATTCTGCCTTGGCCTGTGTAAGACAATACGGGTGCTGCGTAGTCTATCAGGGATCGAACAGTGCTTATGTATAACATCCGCAAGATAGGTACACCAACACCTTTACCAGAAAAAGCCAGTGCTTTTAGAGGATGCAGACGGGCTTTACATAAGGTGCTGATATGATTTATTTCAGCATTTTTACTCTCACATGTGTATCCAACATACATGCCCAGATACTTGTACTTCTGTACACGGCTCAGTTCCACACCATTTAGAGTAAGTGTTATATTTCTTCGTTTCCTATACTCGTATTTGGTTTTATCTGCATTTATAACTAAGCCTAACTTGTGACAGGTTGTACCAAGTATGTTAAGAGCATCTTGAATTTTGTTCCCAGAAGTGCCTTGTATAAGAATGTCATCAGCATATATGATCGTCGTGACCCCTGGAGGATACATCTCTGATGCTAATCTGTTCATTAATACAATGAATAAGGTGGGACTTAATACTCCCCCTTGTGGGGTACCTAACTCAAACCTCCGTTCCTCAGACATGTATCCCTGGTAATACACCTGACCTTTTCTGCCTTGCAGGTAATCCCTTATCCAGTGTAGCAATCTCCCTGTTATTCCCAGATTGGCTAATTCGTATAAGATTACTTCCCCATTGGCTTTATCAAACGCTCCTTGTAGATCAACAAAAACTCTACAATTGTCATCCACATTAGACAAACACTTTAAGAGACAATCCGCAGTACTTTTGCCTTTGATAAAACCAAAGAGATTATTGGACATGTTATCACCTACAAGGTAGAGTAGCCTATTTAACAAAATCCTTTCCATCATTTTACAAAAGCAGGATATTAAGGAGACAGGTCTGTAGCCTCCGTTTGACTTAGGGATAGGAATGATGACAGCCTCTTTCCATTTTCTTGGTAACTTTCCCTCTCTATAACTCATATTAAACAAATCAAGTAAGGGATTAGGTTTCATACCGGCTAAATAATTAAGTATGTCATACGTTACTCCATCTTTTCCCGGAGCAGTGGAGCTGCCACTTTTTATAGCATCCAGTAGCTCATCGTGGGTTATCTCAGTGCATGCTATAGATCTTGTATTTAAGGCACATAAAGTTACTCCATTTCTAATATTTTCCCATGACTCAATGGTGACTCTCGTGTCTGCAGGTAAGGACTCCATACCAGCAGCACTTGCCCATTTATCTACTAACTCATTAGCAACTTTCCCTGGATCTGAGTGAGCAATGAATTTAGTCTTACAACCCCTGACTTTATTTACTGCTCTCCATATGTCTTTAAGGTTCTTAGTATTACCAATGGCCTGAGCAAAGTCTTGCCAGTATCTGTCCCGCGCCTCCTTCCTCACCTGACTGCATTCCCTAGCCACTTCCAACATTGTATTTTTCTCTTCATCCCTCATTCCATTTTTTAACCATGCTTTATGCGCACCCCGTAGCATTCGCTCCCATCCCTTGACTTGCTGATCATTGGAATATTTAAATTTCTTAGGTCCGTGCGTCTTGCTTCCCCTGCCCCCGTTATTTTCCCTCTGTACTAATTTCTCTATGTTCTCGACCATGTCCTCGTAAAAACTATCAACGCAGAGCGGCGTGTAATGTTGATACCAATCTCCCATATTTTGAATAAAATAATTTTTCATATCTTTCTTAATATTTAGCCTTTTCCTTTGAAAGTGGACTTTTTTTTTCCCCAGTGGTAATTCAACGTTCAAGGCAAAGTGGTCACTAAGTAGTTCCCGAACAACCCGAGCCTCCCCCATAATACCCTGAGAGTTTAAAACGCAGGCATAGTCAAGCCGTCCTCCCCTGATGTGAGTTGGTTCATTGTTTCCCAATAGACAGGTATCTGGATGATCTTGTAGAAACTGTAACCACTTGACCCCATTAGTATTAATACTACCCACTGTCCCAAGGCTTGTGTGCCGAGCATTAAGGTCCCCAATGACCAGTGAAGGATTAGTATAAATGCAGTCAGGTAAATAGTTAGCGTCGAAGCAGTTCCTGGATACATACAAATTAACTACAATAAATTCCCCTTCCCTTAATGATAATTTAACACAGACACTCTCTATACCTTGCGTTTTTGATGGCGGTTCTACTAACTCTGCTGGTATGGAGTTCTTAACATAAATCGACGTGCCTCTGATGTTATTCGCAGCGAAGAGGTGAAACCCTTTATAGCCATTTAATTTCAATAATCCTTCATTCCTATCCCCTGTCTCCTGGAGAGCTACAACATCAATATCATTTCCCATCACATAACAATGAACATCTGTAACCCTGTTTCTCAAACCATTAACATTCCATGACAACACTTTCAGTCTAGGGTGATCCATTATTAATCAATTCATTGCCTAAGTCATCCCCAATAAGTTCACTAAATGATAGCCATACCTTGTATAACATCTCCCACCTGCTCCCAAGTTCACCAGTAAAAGCGACATTGCGATTCTCAAGAGATTTTTTCAGCCCTGAGATGTCCATTATTGGCCCAAATGATTCCTTCATTTTATGTGTAATTATAGGGTTCTTCCTTTCACTACGACTACCATCATTCACACACACTTCACTTTCCTTCATTTCATCACTCAATATTTCATTTTTGTCCTCAACCACTATATCCTGACTATCCTTCACCGTTTTGTGATTTTCCTTGACCTCCTGAACGTTTAATTTAGCCTCGATGGACTCGATTCTCTGCCCCAGATTTTGGAGGAACTCACCAACTTTTTTAAGTTCAGCCCACACTTCCTTGACCATATTATTATGACCCTCTCTCTGAGCCACAGTAGCCACTTCACTCACCGTTACACTGTCACTGCCGGAGTCCTGAGTGGTGGCGTGGCTGCTTGTTGCTGGAGCCTGCCTAAGTAAAGGTGACTCCTTTACCCACGCATTCGTCCGGTTCACTGGCACTGTTTGGGGCAGACTGTTTTGCTGTGCTCCCGGTGTCTGGGTAAGAGCTCTTGCTTGCTCTGTAACATTCACCGGCCGGAGAACAGCCATACTCGGCCTCTTGCTACACACAGCCGAGCTCGCATTGTGAACACCTCCACAGTTGCAGCATCTGGGAACTATTTTCTCACCCAGATTCAGTCTGTTTCTACACACAGTAGAGAGGTGAGACTTTCCGCAGAAACGACATCGTGGATCATTTTGACATCTCCAGGATT